AACATCCCTACAAGGTAAGTTAGTGCCAAAATGGGCTTGCATTAGGATTATACCACTGCCTAGTTTTCTTCTCACTAGTTAGCACTGAAGATCAACGATGCTGTACTTCAGGATAGGGTGCTCAATACCTTCTTCCTCATGAACTCTTATTAAGTGGCTATTAGCACTGCAGAAATATGCTATTCCAGCTCTCTTTCCAGGAGAATTTAGTAGTTACTGGCATGGGATGAATATTTAAAATCCTCTCTCTCCAAATACCATCACAATGCTGACCAAAACCACTCACTGGCCCCAGTCTTCCCATCGGGCCTTCTCTCTGTGTGTGGAGGCGTGCACATGGCCACTTGGACATCGCCCACACAGATATTGGGCTGGAGTATTTCTTGGATCAAATGCTTATTCACCCATGATTCAGAAGAGACATATAGAATAGCTGTAGCTGCCAAGTGACTCTCAGAGTTGTTTATGTTAAGCCACTTAAACAAAAAGCAGGCTGCAAACCAGCCATCCCGAATCAACCGTGGGAACGATGGGAGCCTGCCACGAGCCAAAACCCCATCCAGTGGTACCTCCCCTTGCAGTGCACACAAGAGAACAGCTGGGCTGTCCTATTAAGCACCCCAGGCACTGACCAAGCCTCAGGAGCAGGAATCAGTTGCCTGGACCAAAAGCCACACACCCCACAGAAGCTGCTGCAATTGATTTGCATGCCTGCCTTTCTTCTGCCGGGGTTGCTTCATCTGAGAGTGGTGGGGTCCCACTGTTTGAAGACCAGCCTTGTGCCTTAAGAGCCTCTTTGGGGTAGTGTTTTGTACATGATGTTTCATGTTCCTCTCGCTGGTGCAATAGCTAAAGGAAGAACTTGGGGACGTATTGCAGGGACGTCATGAAGCGCCAGCCCCAGGGCAACTCCTGCATCTAGGCAAGGTGGAAGTTCTTTTGCTTCAGATGTTCCACCTGCAGAACCAATGCTTGGCCAATCACTTCTGAGGTCTCTATTAATAGCACTGAGCTCATATCCAGACGCAGCCTCGGAACCTCTCTTACCTTGCTGTGCTATCACTCTTCTGTTCCAACCCCGATTTCATCCCATTGCAGGCAGGCAAGGGGGAGCCGGCTCCAAAACCCCATGACGACACTTAGCGACCTGAATGCCAGTGATCACAGCAAGCCATGATTGCTTTAACCACTAAGGAACAATCGACTTGCCCAACCCGCTAAGCCATGACTCATGAGTTACACCAGGGTTCCTCAACCTTGGCCACTTGAAGATGTGTGGACTTCAACTCCCAGAATTCCCCAGC